TACGAACTTACATCGCGCATATGCCGATACGGCAAACTAAGGGTAAAAATGGCAATGCCTTAATGGTGACTGAGGCAATTCAAGATGGGGTTTAAGCCACTTTTGTGGGATACATATAGGTTAGAGTAATTCTAGCATTGACAAATGATGATATGGGTGCTTTTTCTCCTTTGCATTTGCCAAATTCATGTTGGTCATGATTTCTATAAAGCCCACTAGTACGTACCTTTTCCTTCATTTTTGATAAGTAACTCATCCAAAAAGTGGTTTAATACTATTTGATTACGTCACATAAAAGAAAATATGATTATTACTTGCTGTTTTATTTACACACTGTGTTGGTTAGAAAATAGGATAACAAATTTAACTTTTAACAATAGTTTGCACAAATTTATTACGCTTATGGTGAGGTTCGGACATTCAAATTCTCCTTAACAGGAGGGAAAAAAAAAAAAAAAAAAATCCATTGTTTTTGAACAATATAATAGCATTGTTTATGTAAGTATGACGGTGTTTTAAAAAAAGAAAATTCCCATAATTTAGAAACAGCTTACTAAAATTATGAGAGAAGTTTTTGATCACTCAAAAATAAATGAAGCGCATATAAGATCATAATTTTTTTTACCATCAAAGTCACCATAATCTGCAGAAAGAAAAATGATGATTTTGTTTGTTTCGATGGACATAGAACAGATCATGTCAAAAGGTTCGGGAGTCACATCAAAGAGAATCTTAGCCATGAAGAAGCCAAGTCGCAAACTGGCAAGCACTTCAAATGAAACACAGAAAAACCCTTGGTTGTCCCATTTGAAATTACTTTATGCTACTGTGATATGATAGGTAGAGTTTGTGGTGGGAAACAAAGTTTTACCCATATCATATTTTACCGAATTAGTTCTCCTGGACAATTACAACTCGACATACAAGAAAACGTGGCAGCTAAGATTTTTACTCACGTTGACAAGTTGTTATTCACACGGATCATGTAAATCCCAAACCATGTAATAATTTCTCCTATATGCATATAAACACGTGTATATACATGGGCGCGTAAGTCTACATGCATAATATATACATAGAGTGTGAGCAAAACCCATTAAATTTCTGGGCCAAGCTATCAAAAGAACTCCTTGAATGCGGCCTAGGAACTCTCTCTACTCCTGAAATAGGTAATCATACTCCCTAAAAACCATTGAGAACATTGAGAACATTTTTTTTGCAGTGAATAATTCATGCAAAGAATGCTTCAAATGGAACACAATTTGGTGTGACCGGGGGAGTGAAGAAAATCAGATCGAAACAGAAATGTTTCATTTGATCTTTTTTTCTAGACAGGTTCAGATTTGTTGAAGCTTCAAACTGGCCTCTCACTTCCAAGGTGACAACCTGGTTGTGAGTAGTTACCACGCGTGCGCAGTCCCCACCCCGACCTTGTAGACACTTCCAATGTGTTTCCTGGTTGTGAGTTGTTACTACGTCGCCACTCCTACCTTGCAGATGCTCCTCGAGCTTTCTTCCCACAGGAACCCAAGGAGCGGATGGGGTTTCATGGAAGGATCTCGGGGAGAATAACAGCAACGATTGAGGATCTACGACATGCCAACAGACAGCAAGAGGATTGAATATGTCCGGCTTTTAAGTTCAACCAGTTGGGGACGGAGAAAGAAAACAAGTTTGGACAGAAACCAGTCCTACACTTTAGGCTCTGCTATATAATTCACCAGCTTCGCTTGCCAAGCAGAAACTTCTCATTGATAAAAGACTATTCTCCAACGACTCGCAACATGAAACTGCACTTTCTGATTCACTAGCACATGGCGTATCTCGTGTGGGTTTCAAGACTAAGAGGGAACATTGCAGAGTTTAAGATTTCAGATTTTCCACGAAAATTTCTTACAGCAGAGAGAGAAAATGCTGTAGAAAGATGGGTTTTCTTCCCTGCTAAGTCTTTGGAAAATCTCCATGACTTCGAGTGTTTCTCAGTCCAAGTTAATGCATTTAACATGTCAAATGGGCAATGATACTTTAACCAAGACCTCGTGAATTTTCTCGACATAAAAAGCACCAGTCACAAGCATAACAAGAGAGCCAAAAACTATTCATTATTTCATCTAGCAGAGTATATGAATTTCTTGGATTTTCTCCACATAAAAAGCACCAGTCACAAGCATAACAAGACAGCCAAAAACTATTCATTATTTCCTCTAGCAGTATATGAATTTCTTACAAACCAATATGCACATATTTAGGTTTCTAGGCAAAAATTTGTTCTGAACAAAAGAAGTTTCTACTTTCGCCGTTGGTAACATAGTTCATATCTCATCTCAATTTCAATGAACTTAACCCAACAGATATTGCAGTTGTTCTATCCAAGAATGATTAAGAAGACCACTAATTTTCCTTTCATCTAGACAACAAGGACATTAATCATTTGCATAGAAGGTTTCAAGAGTTTCTAGAAGTAGGCAGAATAGGCAGGTTAACACTTACGCTCCGTTCGGTAGGACGGAAAAAAAACTTGGATAGAAGGGAAAAAAGAAGGGAAAGATAAGACATTCCTAGGGAAGAAATTATGAACTTCCCTCATTTTGCTCGTTTGGGTGGAAGCGAAGAGAAGAAGTTGACAACTTCCTTTGTTCGTTAGGAGAAGGGAAGTGATAATTTAAAATTTCTTTTACCCTTATACCCATCGGTATTTTTTTTTTATCTTTAATTTCACTCTAATTTGTTGTTTGCCTCTTATAATATTATTGCATTAAACTAAAACAAAATCTAGAATTCCAAGGACCACTATCCCATCTTTTTTTTTTTGGGGGGGGGGGGGGGGCGGGTTAAATGAATTCAGCTTGACGTCATGCTTTTATGTGAATGTGGAAGACATTGTCATTAAATTAACAATGGGGTGAGTGGTCAAGGAGCAATAATAAATATTCACTTTTTTCCTCTGATCCTCTTTTTACTACTCTTTTTACTACTAAGGCAATTATAAAACAAACAATCCACACACACACACACACACACACACACACACACACACACAGGGAACAAGGGCTACATAGGTCAAGTACTTCAAGGCCAACGTAGGTACAGAAGCATGAATCAAATAAGTTTGTAACACATGAATCAATCGATATATGTACAGAGCAAGAGCAAGAGAGAAGGGCTTTGCGTGAGATGAGATGTGTAGGGATTTTGAAGGATAATATTGTAATTTAATGTTTTTATAACTACTTCACCTATTTTCTCTCGTGTCTTTCGCCCATATATATTTTTTGATAAATAAGTAATTCATTAAGAAAGCGTTCAAAAGGGGAACGCGTCCCTAACAAAATCACAAAAACCTGGGTACCCTAAGGCCCCACGAAGCCAAAAACTCAACAATTTCCTCAGCAGAAGAGTAGAGTCTACCCGAACCCCAAAAATAAAGAGAGCTAATAACAGAAGATTTTAGAACAGTGATGGAAGATTCCTCTCCTTCAAAGGATCTTCTATTCGCTCCCTCCACAAACACCACCAAAGACACAAAGGTGCCATTCCCCAGAACCCTCGAGCCTGTGCTCCCACCCAACCCCCTCTCCAGGTGTCCATCAGGCCTCTCGTAGATCTAGGGATGACCCAACAAACTCCAAATAAACCTAGCAAAAGGTTCCAACAATTAACCGCCACTGGACAATGCAAGAGAAGATATGATCAACCGACTCGCCATTGCACTTACACATGCAACACCAATTCACTGTGATAAGCTTTCTCCTTCTCAAATTATCCAGCGTCAAAATTTTACCCCACACAACCGTCCAAGCAAAAAAGGCCACTTTCAATGGTGCCTTGGTGCGCCACACAGCCTTCCACGGGAATACCACCCCAACTTAGTCCACAAGGAAAAAAGATCTCACACTAAACATTCCCCTAGCAAAAGGAATCCAAATTAGAGAATCCCTACCTCCTCCCCGGATCACCTGGCTATACAACAATTCTAAAAAACCAAACACATCATCCATCTCCCAATCTTAAAAAGATCGTTGAAACAACACATCCCAAACCGGTCTTCCACTATCAAGACGATAGCAGTTAGCCACCAAGGCATGCCTATCCACCGCAATCCTAAACAGTCTAAGGAATGAACATACTTACGTGCGGTCTCCACACCACACATCCTCCCAAAACCGAATCTCCCTACCATGAACTCTGAATCTGATATGTTTAGAGAACTCATTCCATTCCTTTCGAATGTCTTTCCAAACACCGACCCCTCCAAGTAAAGACACCCCCCTCCCCTCCCAACCCCAAACACCCAAAGCGACACAATATCACTTTCCTCCACAATCTATCCCGCTCAATACCAAACCTCCACAACTACTTACCTAATAAGGCCAGTTAAAAGGTAACAATCGCCTAATCCTAATTTCTTAACCACCCAAATTTAGGCGGATGAAAATTTGTAAAGGAGGAGCGATGAGCCATCCCTCCAATTATCCTCTCTCTCCCTCACTCCTTCCTACCGAACGAAGGAACTTTGTTCCTTCCCTCCTATATTCCTTCCACCCCTCTTGCTTCCTTCCTACCGAGCAGAGCATTATGCATGTACTTCATACTCCCGTATAATGCATCAAGTCAAGCAATTTCAGGATGCTATAATTACCATAACACAAACATTTCTGCCAACAATATTGATAGAATTTGTATCCAATTTGGTATATTTTCAAAAGAGGTGGGCCTATAATTAATTATACATCTGGTTCCCATTCCTTGCTCCAGTGATCTCCACACACTTTTCTAATAGAGGTAGGGAGGGTAAAGACAAATATTTAGTAGGTCCAGCTTTCAAAACTTATGAAGGGATTTCTCAATGGGCCAATGGCCCAACAGTATAATCTCTCCTCCCTCGAAGGTTCTAGTCTTGTTGTGGACATTTGTGTGCAAGTGCGACGTACCTAATAAAAAATGAAAAAAATAAAAAACTTATGAAGGGATTCATGAAGGTCAGATAAAAATAAAGTAAATACAGAAAAACATAAATGGTATTAATTTCAAACTGCACACTTTAAGATGCATTCTTCACCACACTTCATGCATTCTAACTACCTATGCTTGGAGCTACACAGGTTTCTTGATCAGTGTTTATGTAACCAATACAAGGATAAGCCATGCAATCTAAAACTCAAAGCATATACAATGTATATAGATATAACAACCACATAAATAGTGTGACTGTGGAATGGCAGAAGCATTGAACACTGTGGAATATCTCAATTAGCAAAATGCTAGAACATTGCCATTATAAAAACGATGACATACAATGCCTACCTTCAAGAACCCTTCAGAAGAATCTGATTACTTGTAAAAGTGTATAGCCTTTTGAGCTAAAAGATCCTTAAACGCATGCATCTTTCAGAAATCACCATCAAGTCCCAGCCATGTCTGCTGAATAATTTCTTGTAATGACCCCGATTAATCCATTGGCTTTCAGTATATAACGAGACATTTGGGACTGTAAGCATTATAACCATCCTTCTTCAATAAAATCCAGCATCTCCAACACAATTCCCTATGCATAGAAATGGTCCGAGGTAATTTAATCAGTAAGAATTATTTAGAATTCTATAAATGAATATTAGGGGTAAGTCTTGATGAACTACTGTGCTTATTTTCCCAACAGACTAATGAGACTCCTGAAAACAATTATGTTACGGAAACTAGTACAAACAGAGAAACCAAGGGTCTGTTTGGTTCAAATTTTAAAAACAATTCTCAAGAACTTTGAAAATAGAAAACAGTTCAAGAGACCTATAAAAGACATTTTTTTCCCTCTTGTTTTTGAGAGAACAATTTCAGAAAAATGTCAACTAAATGAACTTTTGAACTGTATTTCAATTCTCTGATAACAATATATGTTCTCAAAACTGAACCAACCAACCCTAAGCATGTGAATGGACTGGATGGTATTCAAGCATGACGAATGAGGGGTTCAACAGTGATTATCCATTCTTTCACAGGGAAGTTGTAGAATATTGATAAATAACTAGACTAGTTTGGAAGTTGCATATCACGAGACATAAACATAGGCAGATCCAGAAAATGTGCAGTATATTTAGCTTCTTGGTACAATAAAGTCCACTCTGGATCAAAAGTATCACCTGCAGTGGTCCCTTGAGAGAAGGGTTAAGTAATAACTGGACAGGCAAAAGTGTCACCTGCTAGCAATATAAATTATAGAGCTTCAAGCAGCTAAAGTTAGCACTTTAAATTGAGGGGTGCAACTTTAAATTCAATGAGGGTTAGTAAGAGTACTAAATAAGTTTCCATGTACCACATTCCTTTTTTTGAGCATACCTCATAAGATATGGCAGGTAATCAGGTTTCAATTGGCTTAATTAATTTTCTGGTAAATCTATAATTTAGTAAGTACAGACTCCTAAGTGCACGACATAAATATCCTCTTTTTCAGTTTGGTTTCTTTGGAATTACATATTTCTGGAAAGAAATTCCCAGTAATCAACTATCTCAACTGATGGTTTACCATAAAGCTTTGAAAATTACTTATTATATTTACGCAATTAGCATCGAGAAATATATAATAAATATGCTTACATACTTTTTTTTTTTTTTTCCCTTTTCTGGTACATGGGAGAAGCCATATATCTTCTCCTTCCATTTGTTGTGCTTAAATTTCCTTGGAAAAGGAATTTGCCAAAGCTATAGTAATGTAGTGATAAAAGTGCTGGCATGACATCTAAAATGAGAAGGGTAGATTAGGAGATCGATTTTATTGCTGTAAATTAAAGAACATGTAGTTTCTTGTTCAGTAGCTTCAATTTTGCTTCTTCCTCTCGTCATCTTCTTGATTGTTCAATCAAAGAAGAGAACAACAAATTAAGTTGAATCTCACTAGGGCGAGAATGATGACCATTATTAAGTCATGATGTCTAACTAGATTCTATACGAGTTTGATATCATAGACTGTTCGTTTCTTCTTTACAATCTGATTCTCTTGTTCTGGTTTCCCACAGTTGAACCCCTACTCCACCTTCCCCCCTATCCTTTTCTTTGAAGGTACACGGACACAAGCAAATCATCTTTCCACCCGCTCCGTTGGTTGTGAGTTACCTGCTATTTGCTTGACCTCCTAGCATTAAACGGAAGGCCCAATTTAACTTCTTGCTCATGAATTGTTAAACTAAGGGCTTGCTTGGTTTGTAACTATGGAAATAATTTTTTATTCTCAAAAAATTCAAAACAGAAAACAGTACAAAAAAGAGAGGGCATGCTTGGTTTGTAACTATGGAAACAGTTTTCTCTTCTCAGAAAACTGAAATCAGAAAACTATACAAAAAACTCTGTTGGTTTAGTTTTCCAAAAGCTGTTTTGTGAAAACCCAGTTATAGTTATCTGAAAACTATTCTATATTTTCTGAGAACTGTTTTCAGAGTTACAAACCATGCTTGGTTCAGTTTTCAGAAAATTGTTTTCTTAAAACTCAGTTATAAAAATGCTTGTTTTCAGAGAACTATAAAAGATTGTTATCTGAGAACAGTTTTCTGAATTCTTGAGAACTATTTTCAAAGTTACAAACCAAGCAAGCCGTAAGTTTTTTATGAATTTAATCTCACGCCTAACAAATTCATTCTTAATGTTTGTCACACAAAATCTTGGTTCCTCCCTAAATCCTGCTGACTCTCTAGATTTCCATTTTTCTCCATTTTGTTAAAGCACATGCATCAGACGGACAGTAGCTCCTGATTCAGACCTGGATGTTTATAAATAATTAGCTTTTCATACTTTAAGTTAACATAAGTATGGTCACACAACCTCAATTAGCTTCCTTGCTAATAACTTAGAATTAAATCTCCACATTATCCTCAAATAATCACTACCCCCTCCCCCCTCATTTTTCCTTGATAGTTTTTTCACTCATCTACTTTGAGAGACCCACCACAACTAGTTTTCTATAATCTCTCTACTCCCACACATGGTTAGGTTATTGCTGCTTTAAGGAATTAAATGAAGCATAATCCTCAAACAAATCACATAAGACTGCTGTATCATCAAGCCATGTCTATTTCTACATCATGTGTTGCATAACTATTTCTAGATCTAGCACTAACTAAACTGTTGCAAAAATATTGAAGGAAACTGTATAAAAATGCGCTTACAGGAAACAAAAAAAAATTGGTCAAGGTGTGAGAGCAGTTTTACTGATTGAATGATTGATTGTCACGTGAAAATAATCGAATCCTAAACTGTCACTCACTTTAGATGTCATGCCAACACTTTTATCACTGTGTTACACTAACTTTGGCAAAAGATTATTAGTTTCACGCTAAGAATGAAGTACAAAATTCTTTGGGTATGCAGTTCATGAGAAGCTAAAAAATTAGCAAATCCAAAGAAAAGCAACTTATTTGCAATGGGTTCAATTTCAAGGCGTGACTCACTTGAGCTTTACACAATAAAGTTTACATATAGTTGAGTGTGAATTTATTTTTGGTAGTTAATTGCTGGTTTAATTTCATATGTGTTTTCTAAATTTAGAAGTTAATAGTATTTTGGTAGTTTTTAGACTTACTTGACATGGGCTGCACTATCAATCCATGGGTCATACTTAGGGTCACATTATGCTAATCATAGTTTCTAACTTTCTAAGTGCTAGCTATAACAGCATCTAAAGGAGAGACTGGGTTCAAGGGTGAATTTTATTGCTGATTATAAAGGAATAAAATACAAAGTCCAAATTTAATTAAAATTATTGTACACAGAGTACATATTGTTATGCAAAACATTCAATTAATAAGAGAAAAAGCTTTATTAACTTCAGGTTAGTTTCTCAGACTTCCCATTTGGGACTGCCTTCCCAAAACAACTAGTCTCCACCCCTTATATTACAATCTCTCTAGCAATTTCCTACTCGATTGCAATACTAGGAGTTCTAAGCTAGATTATAATGTATCATCATGCACACCAGAAGTATTTCAAATTTTTTCGAATTAAACCTTCAAATAATGTAAGTATTTTAATTTTAATAAAAACTTTGGTCGCCTTAGCTTAAACCAAGTCTTTCAATATTAAAATCAGAAAAACAATACATAAGATTTTATCCCATTTTTTGAAACGTTCATGAATTACTCTCACTATTACAATAATGTGCTACATCCTGATTCCACCCCTTATATTACAATCTATCTAGCAATTTTCTACTAGATTGCAATACGGAGTCCTAAGCCAAATTATAGTGTATTATCATGCATACCAAAAGGTAAATTTTTTTTTTCGAATGAAGCCTTCAAATAATTTAAGTATTATAAATGTTAATGAAACATTGGCAGACTTAAGCTTAAACTGACTCTTTCAATATTAAAATAAAGAATACTATACTTGATTTTATCCCATTGTGTGAAATGTTCACGAATTACTCTAGCACAAGTTACTACAGTCAAGTGCTACATTCTGATTCCATTAACATTTATGGGAATAGACCCCCAAACTCTTGTTGATAATACTCTGGTTATATAGATACATTTCCATCACGTGTTACCACTACTTTAGGGACTTAGCACAAAATTTGAACTTCATTAAGAGTGTACAAACTCATCCTAGCAGTTTGTAATCAACATCATGGATGGGCGACACTACAAATAATTTTAAAGCCTTCACAACCACTTATCTAATTTTTTATAACCCATTAAACTTTGGACAAGTGAAATTCTAACTGGTGACTTTCAAGAAAGGGTTTCTACCCCACTCCACCAGATGTATGATTCACTAAATGTCTAAATAATCACTTAGTAAAAGGGATTGGTCAACTTTCTATTCGACATAAATATATATATATATATATTGATAACATTGTAAGACACAATCAAATATAGAACTAGTTATGTAATTATGTGGAGTGATTAAACTAATTTAGTTTTTTAAAAAAAAAACAATATCGCATAGCATACATACCAATATTCAATTGAAATTATAATCAAACCAGTGTTACCAGTCCATCATTGATCCTTCAAGGCATGGCCGTGAGCTGAACTTCGAACAGGAAACCACGGCAAAGCCCATCCCCGTTCCCCGGCACTCCGTCAATCCACCGCCACTGCCCCTTCCCTGCCTCCGCCGAATAGTCCCACAATGCCAGCCTCCCAACCCTCTTCCCTGAAAAGCAAACCCTATTCCCACCTCCAAATACCTTGAACTTGCTCGATTCCTTGAAGCACCGGAACATCTCCGCCGGCATTCGACCGGCTTCGTCCCACTCCAGCGTCTCCAGATCCAGCCTCAGGATCAGGATCGTCGAGCACGATGCGTTCAGCGAAAACGAAGATTTCAAACCCCCAATCATCAGGATTCTGTTCCCGAGACCCCTCACCAAACGCGGTCGTTTCAGGATGTCGAAAACATCTCCCCATTCGTGCCTCTCGAGACGAGTCCAGGCTTGAGAACTCTGCAGATCCGCGAGTGTGCATGTGAAGAGCTTCCACTGGCTTCGCCAAGGAGACCCAATGTCGCAGAGAGCGAGTACAGAGTCAGAAACCAAGATAGGGCTTCGTGGTTTGGATGGTAAATTCGACGAAAACTTGAGCCAATTGTTGTTGGAGCCTGAGAAATACAGAGCAGCGAGTTCAGTGAGGACGAGGACTCGGTTGGGTGAGCCGACCAGGACGGAACCATGACGCGACCAGGCGGATCCGAGTTGGGGCAAGACTCGGTACTGCCGAGTCAAAGGGTTACAGGCGACTAGTGATTTGTTGGAATCGGGCGAGTCGGCCCAGAGATAGACGAGTCCGAGAGAGGAAGCGACGGGTTGAGGGGAACGGAAGGGAAGGAAATGGAGGGGGAATCTGAGCCATTGATTCTGGTCGGGATCGAAGACGTGGAGGGTGGGATTGGGGGACGCGTGGCGGTGGTGGTGGTGGTGATGGTGGTAGGGGTGGCGGAGAGCGAGGAGGTGGAGGTTTGGTCTGGTGGAGATGAGGTTTATGAAGGAAGGTGAGGTGAGAATGTGGTTGAAGAATTTGGAAACTGATCGGCAGATGATGATCTGACGGAGAGGGAGGTTTGAGAAGATCTGATGGAGGGTGTCATGTGGTAGATGGTAGATCGGTGATCCGTCCATGAGAGAGAGGGGGAAGACAGAGACCGTCGCAGAGGTTCGGTCGGAATTTAGTGGATCGACGATTATAGGGCTGGTGGTTTGACTGGTTTATCTTAACGTTCATTCTTATGGTATTCCTAAATTAGCCCTGCAATCTGTGTGCTAACTTTGTAGGTCACTCCGGTGGTGTTTGATATATTTTAACTACTGAATTTTAATCGCTGAAACTTTATGCACAATGTATTAATTTAAAAACTTATTTAATAATGTTTTAATTTTAAATGCTGAATTTATTAAGATTTTTTATTATAAGTAAAAACTGAAGTATACAAGTTATACATATTATATTTTTACCCTTAATATTTGATTCTCGTTTTATATTTATAATACAAAAATATTAATTTAACTATGAATATTAATGTCAAATATAATCATAAAAAAAATATAAATTCAAACTTAAATAATTAACATTATTCAAGCAATACCCATTAAAAATGTGAATGTCTCGAAAATGTTACATTAAACTAAACATATAAAATTTTAAACTCGAGAACTAAACAAGTCATTTGCAATTTGGTTACACAAATTAATATAAATTGAGTGAAATATATCAATTTAACTATGAATATTAATGTCAAATATAATCATAAAAAAAATATAAATTCAAACTTAAATAATTAACATTATTCAAGCAGTACCCATTAAAAATGTGAATGTCTCAAAAATGTTACATTAAACTAAACATATAAAATTTTAAACTCGAGAACTAAACAAGTCATTTGCAATTTGGTTACACAAATTAACCATAAACACTTGATCAGATTGTCGTTCTGTGGTGTGAATTTCAGAGGATGTCAAATTTTCAGCAATATTAGGTAGAGTCTCAAATTGTAAATCCTCAGTCTCATACTGTTCAAAAAGTCTATCCGTGACGATAGTTTTTCGAAGGTAATTGTGAATAACTGCACAAGCAATAACAATATTCTTTTGCACTTTGAATGTATAAGGTGCCATCCTTTTCAAGATTGGAAAACGGGCCTTTAATACTCCAAATGTTCGTTCAATCACATTCCTTAGCTTGGTATGTGCATGGTTAAATAGCTCTTCTTTTGTTCTAGGACGGCCATCATTTCGAAAGTCGGCTAACCAATATCGTACATTACGATAAGATACCATAAATCTTCTGGTATATGTGTATGTAGCATCACACAAATAATATTTATCTACAATGTAATATGTTTAAAATGGTTAATAAAGTATATGATAAATAAATAAAGTATAAAAATGGCGTTAGCAATATTAAAGAAAGTAATTCTGTTATATTTGAAACACAATTCTTCTCTGAGAATAAAATTCTATTATATAAATAATTACATAATATTTATGTAGGGCATAAAAATGGTGTTAACAATATTAAACAAAATACGTGAAATTGAATAGAATTTTGTTATACAAATAATTATTTTCTATATATATATATATGAATATGAATGGTAACAGTTTAAAATATAAATAATTACATAATATTTATGTAGGGTATAAAAATGATGTTAACAATATTAAAAAAAGTACATGAAATTGAATAAAATTCTTATATAAATAATTATTTTCTATATATAGTGAATCAATATGAATGGTAATAGTTTAAAATATATTAGGTACAATTATATTTTTTATTTTTTTGGAATTTGTTCCATGTATTCATTTTCAAAAGGCTATTTGTCATGTTTAAAATATTATAGGTAAAATATTTTTCACGAATATGTTCTATCATGTAAAAGTAACAAAAACTAATAATAAAATATAACCAACGAAATATATATAGAAGAGTTCTTCAAAAGACAAAACTCATCATATTTTCAGATGCAGAGAGAAATCACAGAGAGTAGTCTAAAGAAATTGTAGAGAGGCCCTAGAGAAATCGCAGACAAAAACCCTAAAAGAGAGAATACAATTATATGAGGGTAGAGTAGTCATTAGAAATTTATTTTTTAAACCCAACAACTTACCGTGTTCTGCGATAAACTATAAGCAACCTTTACAACGCTTAAAATTTTGGCCTCTTTTAAGCGGTAATTACCATATTAAGCGGTGTCCTAAAATTTTATCAAACACGCTTATTTTTAAAAATCACTTACCGTCTTCTGCATTTAGCGCTGAATTGAAAAATCAAACAGGCCCTTACTCCTTAATTCAGAAAGGGATGTGACCTGCATATAGCCTAGACTGCATTCTTTTCCTCGTAGAACGTTTATTGGTATTTAACTTCTTCTTTTTTTCCTCCTCCTCCTCCTCGCAAACAAAGGAAGCACTAACAACAATAGGCATGAGAACAATCAAGCATTGCTAACTGAAACACTGCAGGAGGAAGTTGAGAGAGAACATCATTATCTTGCATAGCCGAAGATGAGAGTGAAGCAAGAGCATGGGCCACTTTATTGCTTTGTCTGCATACATGAGAAACTTTAACCCAAGAGAAAAGGCTGAGGTCATGCCGGATGTCAAAGAGAATTGGAGAAAGAACAGAAGGCCACTTGCTGCCCATATTCAAAGCATCCACAAGGAGCTTGGAGTCACTCTCAACCCAAACCTGAAGGAAGGAGAACACTCTAGCCTATATAACTGCAACCCTAAAGGCGTATGCCTCAACAAACAAAGGAGAAGAAGCTGGAAAATGCTTAAAGACAACAACATGAAGAATAGAGCCATCTGAATCACGGAAAACGGCTCCCCCGCCACCTATCCCAATTGAAGATGAAAAAGAAGTGTCAATGTTGCATTTAACAACACTAACAGATGGTGGGAGCCAGGTAGAAGAAGAAACATGTGACTTAGGAGTCGTTAACACATATTGACAACTGCGTTGACAATGTTAGAAATTGTGAATGAAAATTATTTGATTAGTCATTAATAGATGTCTTGGACTGAACATGTGTGATTATTGGTTGGTTATGGGATGAAAAGATGCAATTCAAAACCAACAGACATAACTATTCATGTGAACTATTGCAACCTATTGGAGTGGATGTGTTTATTGGTGAACAAACACCATGTGAACCATTGCAACCAATTGGAGTGGATGTGTCCAGTGTGAAGAGACACATATAAATGGCTGTGTCCAATGATGAAGAGACACACCCAATTCGAAAAGAAACATTGCTTCAAAAAACTACTTTTTAGTTTTTTTTTTCCAAAGGGTTGCACCTACCCGAAAAGGCACCTTGTTGCCTATAAATACCCCCCTTTTGATCATTTTCAAATCGTTTGTTTCATTTTCTTCTATCTCCCTCTCTAGACTTGAACCCAACCTAAGTGGGTTCAAACCATAGGTTAAGTGGTCCGAGCCACTTAGACCCTAATCCAATTTCATCGAGCCATATTAAGATTGGTCCGAACCATTTGGTTCGGATTGCACCCAATTCAGCATTTATATAGTATAGATGCATTTTTGAGTCAGAAAGAGTATTATATGGAGGAGGTTTGCCGTATCCACGAGTTTGTAGTGTTGCTACTAGTAGATGCAGACCGTTGTATCATGGGAGATAGACGTCATTGAGTCCGTTAGCACCATAGTGGGGCGAATCTATCTTAAGAATATAATATCCAATACTAGCATCGGTTTAGGTTCTTTATTTATTTATTATTATTTTATTGCTTTAATTTGCATGTTTAATTAAATATTTAGTTGAATATTTAATTAATTATTTTAGCATATTATAAATATCTTATAGCATATTAGTATAGGGTTAATTATATCTTAAATATCATTTGAAACATATATTTTGCCAACAATCTTAAGCCAGATTCATTCTTTGCGTATGTAATGACCCGGTCATTTTCCTTCCTTTCATTTTCTCAGATTTTCACGGATATTTTTTTTTCGTTGATCTTTTCCTTTCTGAGTTCAGTTTCTCGGCACTTAGTGTCATCTTGAGTACTCGGGAATGGTTTCTGAGACTCTTTTCGGTGGATTGACGACTTTCTTTGAGGACCGAGTCATTTTCACATTTTCATTTTTGTGACACTATTCACTTTCGTCTTTTTCTCGGTTGTCACTTTGTTGGCATAACCTCATTTTTCGTGTTCGGATTTGATTCCGGTTTTGCATGCTTCCACGATATTTAAATTCCATACTATGTGTATTTTCACTTTTATAGAAAAGCATGCTAAGTGCTTACTTTTCTTGTAAAGGGTATAGATGCATGACCATTTTGTAATTTTCTAAACTTTAGGGGTTTTTGTGTAATTACTGTAAAGTAATTATTTTTCGTCTTAGGGACCATTTTGCAATTTAATTTGGAAGATATTTTCAAAAAGGATTTTTTTGCAATTTCCGGAAAGTGTGACAAGTGTCACACTTTCATTGGTCCACTTGTTGTGATGTGTGTGGAAACACTTTGAGGCCTTGGATGAGGATATGTGGAGGGTGGAGATTTAACCACTTGTTGGCCTAGGATTGGTGCACTTGTTGGCCTGGATGGTTGACAAGTGTAGGCTTGAGATTTAGCCTAGGATGGAGCCTTGGATTTGTGACAAGTGTAGGCTCACAATTTGATCTTGCATTAGTGTGTGTGTGAGAGGTAGTGTAAGAGCACATAGTGAGTGGAAGATCTCTATCCCCTCCACTCACATTTCATCTTCATCAATTTTCATTTCCTCCCTCTTTTGTAAAGAAAACCCTAGCCTCCATGGATTTGCCTAAAGCCTTAAGCTTTGACCTTGATTTTTGAGAGCCTTTCATTGATTTCCAAGCTTGAACTTGGGAATACATTTTGTTCCCCTCATCTTCCTCTTCATAACCCTAGAAGGGTTTGCCATTTTGTGTTAATTTTGCCTTGGATTCTAGAGAGACACTTCTCTAGTGAGGTAGGGAATGTTATAGGGTTATATGTTTGTTGTCTTGCATGTTTTTGATGCTTATACAACTTGTATGTATGTAGTGTATTAATTTGAGAAATTATGATTAATGGTAGTTTGCTTATAACTCATTTTAGACTTGGTAAATGGCATGGCCATGAGTTCATCTTTGATATATATTAATTTGGGTTGATTTAGATGAGTTTTCAAATCTAGAGATTAAATGGATTTAAATTGGTTTAAATTCTAGTAAATTGTGTTTTGCTTGTAATCCATCTTAGACTAGATATATGGTATGACCATGACTTAGTGCTTGATAT